AGACTGAACATGACACATCTGGAATTTTGTAGGTACAATTAGCTTTTTCTAAAAAAAAAAAATAAAAAATAAAAAAAATTATTGCAATGCATAATATAATTGTATTTTCACCTAATTTTCTGTTTGTATCCTAACATGAAATAAAAAATGACGGGGAATCCATAATTAGTCATGTAAATAACACGTATAAAATTAAGGAAGCGTTATAGGAAATGCCATTAAATTATCCGTCTACATCAACATTTTATTCCGTTGGAACGACTAATGCATCTTGTACGATTGAATTGTCAAGTTTACGTACCTGTTTTGGTATGAACTAAATTCATGTCTGGTTTTTAGACAACGCCCTGTAAACATCATTAAGGATCTTGAATAAATAATTTGGTATATACGAAACACTTACTTGATGCGGAAGACGACATAATTTGTGATCTTGATCTTGATGATCACACGAGATTGAATTAATTGGTAGGACTAAATCAGTTTCTCCCTCCTGACCTTCTCTTAACGTAGCAGAAAAGTGATGGGATTATGACTGCGTACCCTAATAGGAGGAGAGAGGACTAATTTACATAGGGGTGTCTTTAGATCTGGTACGTCTATCAAATATCCAGATTAATGGCTTAGATTTGTTTTACTATTAAATAAGGTCTGGCCCAATAGGATAATTAAATGTGAGCCCAATACTTTCGGGCCACATATTCTTACATTCTCCCACTTGGTCCGAAAGCCCATAATTTAATAGTATAACATTAGGTGCACATAAACAAATCCCGTTATGCCATACATCATAATAAACTATGACATGATAAACCATACAGTGAGAGTTATGGCGGTTGTACACTCTCAATTCGCATACTTCCTTCCATATACTACTACACTAATAGTTCAACACATCAAGTTCCATAATTATATATAAATATCATAATGTCCACTTAATTGTCATGAAGACATTCATTTCTTGTTCTAAACATAATGTATACAAAATCATAATGAACAAGAAATTCGATAATAGTCAGAAACATAACATCAATGAGCTCAAGAGTGTGCCATACATCATCATAATCAATCATTAATACAACCAAGACCCATTCTATGTACATGTTCTTTAAATGTCTTTGGTTGTAGACCTTTAGTTAACGGATAAGCAATCATAAGGTCCGTTCTTATATGTTCAATGCACACTCTTTGTTTCTGAACTTCCTCCTTAACGGCAAAGTACTTTAATTCCATGTGTTTTGCACCCTTGGAATATTTGTCGTTTTTGGAGAAGAAAACTGCTGCGGAATTATCACAATACAATTTCAGCGGCTTGGTAATGGTGTCGACAACCCCAAGTCCCGAAATAAAGTTCCGCAGCCATAATGCATGAATCGTAGCCTCAAAACAAGCCACAAATTCAGCCTCCATAGTAGATGCAGCTATGACAGA